GACAAAGAAATTGATGTCAAATAGAAAACTAAACTTTTTCATAAACGCGATAACTTCAACTTTTCTATCTTGAACTACTTTTATTTATGTATCTTCATATACATGTAACTATCTTCTGACTATTATAATTATGTCTCCCACGAACAATTTCTAAAATGAGGCATGTTATTGTGAAATTAGTTGATCATACAAGGATATCAGCAGCAACTTCTTTTGACGTGGAATTTCTTTTGAAGTTAAAATTTCACAAATTGTGCTGTCGATACACTTACAATATTTGCACATGCATTTTTTTGTTTAGTTAACTGTTGAAGGACGTCTTTCACCAGCGAGAACAAATTGGATAACAAAATGTTTGTGCTAAATTGAAAAGCAATTTAATATGCATCCATTTTTAAAAAAAAATAGAAAAAAAAAAAATAAAAGCCACTCGAAAAGAGGTATAATTAAGTAATAGTAATTTTTCACATTTCAAAACTAGCAGAGGATACGTTTCTGCTCACCTAAACCGAATATATTTTGTTTTCAATCATCTGCTTATCCGCTTGGTTCGCTTTCCGTCTACCTGTATTCCTTTTACACAAATATGAAAGAGCAGTAGTGTACTAAATAGTCATAATGTTATGTAGGCACGTATCCGCAGATAGTGTACATTTAAAATTTAAGAGATGAATTGTTTATAAGCCTGAAGTTTCTAATCCAAGATAAGGTACATTTTGTGAACACTAAGGTTCTCGTCAACAGGATTTTTTCTATGCCTTTTTGTATAAAAATAAATTGAGGAAAAAATTCTTTGCAATTTCTTTGTAAAGAATCTTTACTTTTTGCAAAAATGGTTTTTGGCTTCGCAAGATCTAAGGGGAAAAATGCACAGTCAATAAAAACGTTTTTCATACTTTTATCAGCATACATGTACATAGATTTCTCTGTAGCTGGGATAATTACCTTGAGTTATGACATAGCGAAAGAAGGCGTTTTATGGCTTTTGTCTCTGCTTTTTTCATAAATAAAAAAAAAAAACATTAATTTTAAAAGATATAAACAATATATTATTTTTTTTAAGTTTACCCCAGGATATAATATTTACATAACTTTCGGGAAAATGAGTTTTTGGCGTCTCATTAAATGTCCCTTATTGCCAATTAACAAACTTGCTAATGAAATAAAATGAAGCTAATAACCAATGCAACCATATATAAGTAAAAAAAAATCGACGATTACTGGAGACTTTTAGGAAAAGCAAGCTCCTAGAAAAACTTCTCTTTTTGGCCATTTGATAGATGCTATATATATATCATTTGATATGTTTGGATTTATCCAGTGGCTCTTAAGCGTACATCTTGTGATTCTGAATAATGAAGTGATTACTCATCAAACTCAAGACAATGTTAAGATCAAGGAAGACTTTGATTTTAATATAACTCACATAATTATTCAGAGCATCCTTCTTTGTGGACCAGGCATTATATGCGATAAGTCGATCCTGCCTTCTCTTGGGATTCGAATTGACTCAAATGTGTTTCTTCCGAATAGATGCCCACCGTGTTCTTGTGACGAATCTGACTGCTATACCAAGTGGATTTTTTCTGTTCCCTGCTGTCCCGATTTATTCTTTCAAAACGGTTTAGTGGAATGCACCGATACTTATATTGTACCGTTCAGATTTTCCGTTCCAGACTTAATGGTGTCCCACTGCCCAGTTAGTACAGATGCTGTTTTATCCAGTAACTGCACAAAGGAACAAGGAGACAATGATCGACTTCACCAACCGCCTGTGGCTTCATCATCGAGCTGGGTATCATATAAAAACAAATATTGCGCCATATGTCATAATGAAACAAATTACTTGGAATGGATATTAACTTTCAAATGCCTAGCTCCAACGGATTTCAACTATCGTTCATCTTTCGATGACCTTATTGCTTTTGCCAAATCAGAATTTTGTGGCATTCATTTTGAGCATCCAAACCTGGGGCCATATCTGAAAACTTGTTCTACTCGTTACAATAGAAAAATTACCACATGCAATGTGTCAGGTACCTGGATGCATTTTGACAAACAAATACAAAAGGCGTGTCAAAGCGGCTATGAAGCGTCTCATGGCATGTTTAAAAATATATTCTGCAAAATTTGCAACCCCCCTAAATTTGAAGAACAATTTTTGATCACATCTTGTGAACACTCAAGCATCTTTGAGGATGTATGTTTAAATATGCCTTTATTGCAGGCTTCATTCCCCCACAAAAACCATTTTTGTTTCGTTTGCAACCACGGCGACAATAACAATGAATACTATAGTGATGTAATACACTTTGAATCCAACGAGTCATACTGGGGAAACGAATTCAAATTTGACATTGCAGTTCTATATCTTGAAGAGCATGTTAAAGTGTATTTGCAGGAACATTTGGAAAAAACAGAAACAGATGAACTTAACATCAACACAGGGGGTATAAAACCAACAATAGATTCAATGCAGATTAACTTTCCAACAGCAGTGGAAATTTTTGACCTACCTGCAGCAAATACCATCTGTTCAAGGAAATCAGATAATAGTCATGCTCCCAATACCACACCGACTGCAAATTTCTCACTTTTTCGTTATTCTGTCAACGTGACAAATCTTATCTATGCCGGCTTCTCTTTGTCAGGTAGAGGAACCTGCACCCCAGGGATACTGCCGAACTATACAATGTCCTTACAAAGAAATTGTTCATGTTATGTGGGGTGCACTTTCGACTGCTGTGACGATTTTTCTTTGAAGCAAAAATGGACTTGCATCAGTGATGTGTACCCGGGAAGCAGAGAAAATGATACGGTTAAGAACTTCCGAGCAATAAATGGATGTCTTCGAACAAATTATTTAGAAAAACTCTGCACACAGAGAAATGTTTCCTATTTTTACCATTCAATTCCAATAAATAAAGGAATTATAACCTATGTCAACTTATTCTGTTACCTGTGTGATGAAATCAACGACAAACAATTCTTTAATCAAATCGCTTACAGTTTAACGAATTTAGAACCTTGGGTCTTAAAGGTCACCTGCAAATCATACGTTAACTATCTCAATTTTCAGTCATTCCAAGAAGTGATAGAAAGTTTCCAAAGGATATCATGTGATATGAGATTAGGTGTTCCGGATTTCACACAGAGATGCAGTGACGTATGTGACGTAGAAATATCATCTTGTAACGTGTCAGGGACGTGGAAAACATCTAACAAAGATGTACTAATAGCATGTGAACATGCAAATGCCTTGACTTTTCCGCCGGTAAAGTCGGGATCCATAATCTATAAGAACAAATTCTGTTTAATATGCAATCCCACTGAAGTAAATTCATCCCAAATAATCCAGACTTGTAAACCAGATGAAGATTCAAACTTAATCAAAGCTTGCCTTCAATTTCAAAACATTCATGTTTGTTCCAAGTACAAAAATATTTTCTGCGAAATGTGCAATGAAGTGAACGTTTCTTCCTGTGATGGTTATGTCTACTGGAACTACTCCAAGGTTGAAGTAGATTCCAGTACTATAGTATATGATTTTAGCTTCCGGTCTCCATTTTCTCTAGCTGCATATGATAAAAATGATGACCTGACATTTCAGGAGAAATCCATTAGCTGCTTACCAAACCAAATCTATGATGAAAGTCTTGTAAGTTTCATTTTCCATAATTTGTTGCAAAAGTGTTCGGCTTTTTGTAATTCATATATCAAAAATATAAAAAAAAGAAACAAATAACAAAATAAACAAAAAACAAACGCAAGGCAAATTAGGCAGGGGTGTCTTTTTATGAATGAAACATTCTCGAGAAGGAAACAATAAACAAACAAAAAAAAATTTTGCAGGGTAGAGGAAAGCTTTAACTCCCAAAGAGATTAAATGTTTTGAAGTGTGAACTATGAATTAACCGATTAAACCATTTTACCACCAGAATATTATAATGTATCCCTTGATTAAAATGACACTAGAAAAGATATGTTATAGTCAATGGTTGTAAATATTTTTATTCAGAAATCATAAGGAGAGGCGGTAAATAAATGTTGTTAACCATTCAGACTTTCTTTTCAGGATATTTAAAATAATGTCCATGGTATCGTATTCCACCTTTGTTTTCTGAAGTCCGTTTTTTTTTCTACCCTCAAGTATTATCAGATGACTTTCTTTAGCAATGTTAGGGTTGGGGATTACTGCATTATTCTTAAATTTCATACACTTACGTAAACTACTATAAAAAATATAGATTTCTAGAGGAATCTCAGAAAAAAAGATTTTGTAAAACCAATACTTTATATTCTAGGTATTAATAATAACTTTTACGACTAAAATACGGTAAACCATCCTTTAATTGAATGCAAGAAATATCTCTTAATCTCTTAGTTTTACTTTAAAATGAGTTAAATAATATTTTGCGGCATTCATTTTGAGCATCCAAATCTGGGGGCAGACGTGAAGCTTTGCTCCACTCGTTACAATAAAAAAAAAATTCAAATTGATATCTAGAATAAGAGATTTTCTTAATTTACATGTTCATTTCCGATTACATGCCGATAAAAAATTACATCCTACTTTTAAAGATTCATTCAACCTCAATGTTCATTCCCTTGTTTTTTTTTTTCAGAAATCATGCAAAAACTTGACCTGTTTTCCTGGCAAAACCCTCCGGAATGGTACCTGTGTTTCGATCCTTGCAACAACCGTAAACCTGCGTTACACTCTGGCTACTAAAGTTAAATTCACCGTTCTGACAAACAGTAATGGAACAATCATGGGAACATTACTCAACTTCAAAACCTTGATAGAGGAGAAAATATTTCAAATGACTCAAACTGAGACATATAATACTCACATTGAAAATTTTATCCTTATGGTCTCCATGGGCTGCAGTACTTTAAATATTAGAGAGGGAGAATTTTACTTGTATGTTAAATTTTTTGTAAACGAAAAAATTAACCGAGATGCATTGGAAGGAAGACTAGTTCTTTTCATGCAAAAGATGCAAAAGGCTGAAAACTGGACCCTTTCGAACGAATCTGTTGTAGAAATCAAGATGTCTGTTAGTGAAAGAGCATTTATGTTGCCCTATCTATCAACAAGATTTAACAGAAGGCGACAGTGTTTCATCCTCCATGACGATCGTTATTGCGAGCCCAGCATATATAGAAATACCGTGATAAGTCCTTTGCTGACTTGCCCACAAATTCAAATCAAAGACAATGATTTCGGATCAAAATTGGTCGATATTCAGACTGATTACACATTCTCTGGGTTGCCAATTTATCAGTCAAAGGATGCTAACATTGGATACCGAATTTGTGCAAAAGACTTGTCAAAAATTAAATTGACGAGCTTGAAAGATGATGACAGGTTTCTGTCTACATTAACTTTGATTTGTATTTGTGTTTCGCTTGTAGCCCTTCTGCTGACTTTCTTTACGTACTGTCTATTTCCAAGCATTAGAACTCTTCCGGGAATTAACAATATGATTTTGGTTTTGTTTTTATTTTTGGCACAAATGTGTTTGATTTTTCGTCCTCTGTCTTATACATCTGGTCTGGAAATTGTCTCTGCTTTGTCACATTTTTCATGGCTGTTGGTATTTTTTTGGCTGCAAATCTGCTCTTTTCACATGTTTCGTGTTTTCACTGCCAAGCAAAGATGGGATAATTCTCCAACATCTATCAAGAAAACAGTCACAAAGTATTTCTTGTATGCTTTTGGTAGCGCATCGATTATTGTTACTTTAAACATTATTATCTCCCTCATATTATCTAATGGCAAATATACAGGCTATGACAAGGCGTTAACGTTGATGACACATAAGACTGCTTTCATTATTACTCTTCTGGTTCCGTTAATTTTTGTCTGCTTAACTAATATATTTTTTTATATTTTGACGGCGTACAAAATCTGCTCATCTCCTGATATTGAAAGCAAAACAGGAAACAAGGTTCAGTTTTCTGTTTATATAAAGCTGTTTACATTGACCGGCCTTTCTTGGATGCTACAAATAATTGACGCTTTTATAGATGTTTCAGTGTTTTCGTATTTTGTTGCAATTTTGAACGGTTTGCAGGGGTTGTTAATCTTTCTTAGCTGCGTCTGTAATGAAAGGGTTTGGAATTTGTACAAGATAGCATGGTGCAAAAATATAAATTTCCGCAAACATCCTTCCACATTAGGTTCCCAAACACACAGGTCTTCAAATTAAAGATTTTACGAGTGTTAACGTAACCTCTTACCCGAAATTTTTAAGACAAAATCTGTTAAAATGTTAAGTCTAAAATATTGATTTTAAAACCATTTTAATATAATCCTGGATAATGTTTTTTTTAATAGTAATTAGCTTTTTCAATGAAGAATAAATTAAATATTACATGTTTTTTGTAAGGTTATGCTTAAAGTTTCTTCTCTAAAATATAGTAATGAAGGGTAAAGTAGTTTTTATGCATAATTATGAAGAAAAAATTGCTTACAACAGAGTTAAAATAATAGCCTTGTGATCAGTTAAAGATATATTTGTCGTAGGGAGATATTGTGAAATATTTACATACATTGAATATTTTTTCCCTTTATTTCTAATGAAAAATACAGTCGTAATATTGTGTCGCCGCTAAGCAAGCCACTTGTATAGATTTCAGTTACAAACATATTAACGATACAACAATTAATTAAACTTCACGATTTTTTTTTTCGCGAGATTGTTATTTTCACGAGATCTGGTATTTATAAGTAAAACTATATGTTCTATAAAATGAATCTCTTTATAGTGATATATAACACAATATATAGTGATATATATTTTGGAGGTCCAGATCCATGTTTGCTCTGCTCCTATTTTGCATTGTTTAATTGACTTTTGAGCTTGAATAATGTTCGTTATCTCCATATATTTCATATAAGCAGGGATGAAGTATTCTGGAGCAAAGTGTCTAGAGTAATAACATGAATTATTATTGGAGGGGATACAGAAAAGCAAACGTGTGTGATTGTCTATAAGTGAGTTAGTGAGTTAATTCTGTGCAAAAAGGAAATGACATTATTTGCATCGGTATCGATGCCGAACGCTGCCTTGATTTATAGATATGCTCTTTGTGAGGGGATGCTCCGCTTATCGGTGCTCTTGTTATTATTTTATTTATTTATTTTGCAAATTATAAGTGATATGCAGTACTAAATCCTTCTTTATTAAATGATTTATAAACAAAACAAATCATTGTTTTCTTTGTAAATACGGAAATGAAAATATACATAACTCGTTTCAGCATTTTAATAACATAAAGGTTAAAAGCACAAATCATTAATATTTAGTATTATAATTGTAAGGAAAATATCATTTCAATAATTTGTTTCTTCTTTTTTTTTTTTCAAAATCCCACAATGAAGGTTTTCAAACATTTATTAATTCCATTATATTAATAAGTACTCCCTACTCCTACTTCATTAGTGGTGAACATAATTTACAATTTTTATTTTTTTCATTTCTTTTTTTTTTTCCGAACAACATTTTTGCTCTCAAAATTTTTCTTAGGTTCTTGATGATGGGCTACAATCAATCATTTATTTCACAATCGAAAAATGTAAATCTTTATGATAAACTCTTTCTTCACATTTTTTTGTAAACTCTGCTTTGGAAATTGTTCCGGGGGTGAGAGTTGTCAAGTTATCTTGTGGTAATTAAGAGTTTACATGTACTTCAATTGATTTAAAGGCTCAGGTATGATCCCTTTAAAAAAAGTGCTTAGATCCAGTTAGTTCAAATGCATATCAATTGGCGATTAACTCTGACAAAATGTATTTGTGGTTAATAAGCCTTGATTTTCCCTTCAAAATATGAATATAATGATTTCTTAATCGATTTAGAGTGTTGTATTTTTCCTCCATGCTTTATCATATACTATTATTGTTTGTTTGTTTTTTTTTCACGCCCCTTTGTGATCTTTTCACCCATATTGAGACCCACGACTTGCCGGTTGAGGGCTACAAATTTAACCCCTACTCGGAATGAACGCCCTTTGAGCAGTGAGGGATCTTTTTCATGTTAGCACATAGAGCGAGGCAAAGCCCCGATTTATGTGGTCTCAGCCAAAGGACTCGTCTCCACGTTTCACAGTGGATTCAGTCCTCTGACATAAGAATCATCTCCTTAACTTGCGGCTCAAGAGCAAGAGTTATGACCACTGCACCATGCAGGACACTATGTGCTTTTGTATATTATGGATTTTATATCAATTTTTGTTACACATAACGTCAATTTCATCATTTTTTAAACTTTATTATCATTATCGTAGTTTCTTCATCCACTGTTCGCTCACCTGAGCTGAAGCTCAATTGAGCTTTTCTGACCATCGGTTTTCCGGCGTCCGTCCATCCGTCCATCTATCGGTCTGTCTTTCAACTTTTAACATTTCCAACTTCTTCCTTAGAAGCTGAACTTTAATCAAAGTTGGTACATAACATCCATTGGTAAAGTGGATTGTTAATTATTTAAATAAAGGGCCATGTTTCCTCCAATGGGAAGATGGTCAAGGAGAGACAAAAAAGGGATTGGCCATTAAAATTCTTCTTCTCAAGAACCAGTGAACAAGGAAAGCTGAAAAAAAAAACGGAAGCTTCCAGGGATAGTGGGGCCACAATAGTGATTATATAGGAAGAGAATTTTAAGAGCAAACCATGATAAATTATATCAATGTAGAATCATCGACTGGTATAATAGATAAAATTATGTTTAAACCATGGCCCTTGCATTGAGTGTGGAGCCACAGAGGGCAATCAAAAATACAGACGAATACATTTCATTTAGGATAAAAATCTCATGCAGAAAGTCAGAATCAAGATGACCCTGTAGATCTTTGTAGCCCATGGGCCACTTGTTGCTTTTTATGTCGTTTGTTTTACATGTATTGATGCATTGATACTTTAACAATTAATTTATATAATGTTTGATATATCATGAATGTTAAATATCGTGTTCCTCTTAAGGACTGATAATACAAACAAATTTTGAAAATACATCTTCAGCCATGTTCATGTTAGTAAAATAAATAAGTTTATTCGAATAGATTTAATTTTTCATTTAAAGTTTAACAATAATTGGATTTAAGGTGACAGAAACTTGTATAGAGTGTTAAGAATGGTTCAGAACAGTAGAAATTTGAACTCTATAGAAAGTTTACAATTTATAAATAATTTAGAAGTTTAATATTTGCATCATTAACAAACAAAATTGCTGCTTTTTATGTCGTTTGTTTAACATGTATAATTTCATCTCCTGAAATAGTATGCTAGCATTGATATTTTAACTATTAATTCATATATAATGTTAGAGGATGAATGTTTAATGCCATTTCCCTTTTAACACATGATTATTTCTAATTATTATAGTTCGTGTTCTTTGTACATTATGCCATTATTTATCATGCTGAATATGATCAATTTCGTTATATATTATATTTATTACATAATATGTGTGTTTATGTCATTTAAATAAATATCATATTTATTACAAATCGTGTTTGTTATATATCATGTTAGCCAAATACATATATATTTTTGAATGGGTTTTTTTCTGCTTCACATAAAACAGATTGTCACGTACTGTCACCTACATTCCTGTAGAGTTTAACGGCAACATGACAGGAATCAATTACTTAAAATGACAGATCCTAATCAAAGAATTTTATTGAATTAATATAATCCTAAATTCAAACATATAGATTTGAATTTTACATACATATTGAGACGTTTATTTTGATACAAATATAATCAATTAAAAAATGAAATAATTAGATTTAAAGAGTGGTCATAATACACTGCTCCCCCGTTATAATTCCCCCCGTTATAATGCCATCCTGCTTACCGCCAAAAAATACAAAGTCCCGATTTCCTCGCTAATAATCAAGCCACGTTGTTTTTACAAGCTGCATTTAAAGCTTCTACGTTTCCTGGGTGTGATAAATTGCATACTTGAATTGAAAAATTGCGTGCATATCTATATTTCAAGGCATTTTAACAAGTTTTAAATATAAGGAAGATCCCGGGTCAAAATGTGTTTTATTAGGACACCTGACGTGACTTGAAATTGTGATTCGCTTACGATGCGATATTTGGAATCTAGGGATTTTGCATCAGAAAATATCGCAGACTTTTTTTTCATTATCATTATTAAACAATTAAAAAACGGTAAACCCATAAAAAACAATCAACAATAAATAACTATTTTAAAATTAAACGTACCAAAAAATAACCAAGATTTAATAACAATGAGTGTAAATTTCTTCTGCTTTAAAGTGTCCTAATTGCATTCCCCCTTTTTAATGCCGCTCCTATTATAACCCCAAATATACCAAGGTACAAAAGTTGGCGGTAAAACGGGGGAACACTGTACATGCTGTATATGAATTTCCATAAAAGGACCATTTGATTCTGAAAGGGAAGGGGGGGGGGTAAGCTTGCAAACATTTTCGAGTAACACAAGATAATTTATTTTCATATTAGTCAAGGCAGATAGTTTATTTTCAATATGATCAAGGACGGTTTATTTATTTCCAATATTTTTGATGACAGATTATTTATTTCAAAATCTGCCACCACCCCCTCTCACAACAAATGTTTGTCCCAAAATTAGTCATTCAGGGTTCTCCATTATTGCGTGATGTCCACGCAGAAAATATATAAACGAGGTTAAACCGGATTCGATGCAGAAATATAGGACTGCGTGCGTCTCAAAATGCTAAAAAGTTCGTCCCTTGTATAACTTTCCCTAAGGACAAATCGCCCTCCCCCTTTCGAAAAAGAACTCGCACATCATGAAAAAATTCTTAAAAATTCTGCAGATATGAAGCATAATTTATTGAAAAACTTCTGCATGTGAAAAAAGAAACGCTTTCTGTGGCCTTTAACTCGACATTCGTATGTCTACTCGATTTATCCCAGTGAATTTGAAATAGAAAGCACAACAGAATCTGACAGAGTCACATCTGTTGAATATTTAAATATTTTTCCTGACTATAGATATTAAGGGCCAGCTAAATTGAATGACAATTGAGATTTCAATTTTTCCATCGTCAACTTTTTGTTTGTGGAATTATTCCGCTATCACCTGCAGTTGGTGTTTACATCTCCAAACTTATTAGATACTGAACCTGCTAGAGGAAGACGCTCTTATATAAGGTATTTACTGCCACCCGGTAAATTAAAGTTTCCAGCATG